TACACCCACCAGTGCCTTTGTCAACAAGAGAGAGCCGCCAAGCTTGTAAAATAAAAGAGTTTGATATACCAGAAAAGACTGCAGTAGCAATCAACCAGTATGCAATAATGAGAGATCCAGAGTTATGGGACAATCCGGATGACTTTAGGCCAGAGAGGTTTTTGTCTCCTGACGAGAAAGCAGATGGGGAAATGAATCAGAATGAGGCCAGAGGACAGAATTTTCAATATATTCCATTCGGATCGGGAAGGAGAAGGTGTCCTGGCTCGAATTTGGCAACCATCTTGTTGAATACTTCAATTGCTGCCATGGTTCAATGCTTTGATTGGAAAGTTGGAAATGGTAATGAGGGTAAGGTTAATATGCAAGTTGGCGCAGGCATGTCTTTGCCCATGGCTCACCCACTTATACTTTTACCTGTTGATCACTTCAACCCATTTGCTTCTTCAACATAGGTCTATGTAAACTTGCATGTGGGTTATGCAAAACAAACTTATGCTAAGAATAAAGGCAAGCTATATGGGTATTTGTGTTACTCAGTACGAGATAACGAAATTGATCATAGACGCCACTCCATGTTTAGTATGTCATTGCGAAAAGTATACGAAGTTTAATGTGTTCTTGAAAAATGATTTCTCTAAAAGGTAACTCTGGATCCTAGCATAAGTGGTTTTATTTTCAAGAAATTGAGATACAATTGGCGGCCAAAATTTCTTAATTTCTCCCTGACTCCTATTCTCGTTCACAAGGTTCACATGCGCATAACTAGTAACTACTCCAATTGACCAATTCTTGATTAATAGCAAAGGCAAGACTATAGACAGAGTTAACTGGAATTATCATCAAATAGACTCAGGTTGTACAATTGAATTTTTGGCATTGCAACATTGCATTACATCGAAACACAACTAACAGAAGAATAATTTGGAGTCCAGGATGTCCAGGGTAAACATACAAGTTGAATGGATCTTATCATTCATTACAATTGACATGTAAATTGTACAGCCTCAAGGTTGAACAGCCTCCAGAAGTTTCTCATATACTTGCCTAGCAGACAAATCCTCCACCTGCAATAATCACCAAATGATAATGAAGAAGGCCAAGCAAGATCAGCTTTAAGCAGTTTCTTAGTTAAATTGGCATCATAACTTATGCATAATTCAGGGGTCTATTGCATACATAGCTTCTATCGGGATGCTGCCCAAGTGAGGTTCCCTAAATGAATTGTAGTTGCTCTTATTTTATAAGCAGACGAAAAAATTAGAAAAGGAAGAAATATCATGTCTTGTTTTATCTATGTTGCCAAAGTAGAAATGTTTGTGCAACAATACAGTAAATCGGGGAATAGTGCATGGCAGCAAAATTATTGTATACAATGCTCTGAATTTTTTTATAACAAAAATGATATTGTTCTCCTTAACATAGGCACATTTTAAACAGAGTATGATACACCCAAGCTGCCACCAACACCCACACCCATGAGAGAGAGAGAGAAAGAGAGTAAAACTTGTTTAACTCACCACAAGGAGTTTCGATTTATTATTCCACCCTCTCTGAAGAGTCATCTGGCTTAGTCTCAGACCCAACACCTGTGTAAAAAGCAAGTGTTAGATTTACACGTTCGAAAAGATTGGCTTCTTAGGTTAAATGGCCTAAGATGAAACAGAATCATACTTTGCCCATGAACTCCAAGAGTTCATTGTTTGCTTCTCCCCGAGCTGCAGGTGCAGCCACAGTAACTCTAACATCATCAGCATTCACTCCTGGCATAAGAGAAAAAAGTGGGAACATGAAATTTAAGTCAAGGAACCAGTATATTTAAAATATAATCAGTCATTTAAATTTCTGGTATAAAAAAAAAAACTTTCTTCTGGCAAGTTTTACATATTAAAACTGCCAAAGCAGACAGCCCTTGTAGAGGTGTATATGTAGATTTCAAACTTAAAAGTCAGCAAGGACTAGTGCTCAGCACACACGAAATCCAAAATAATCAAAAGAAGTATATGCGCGAATTGACTTATGATTTCCATTCGAACTAACGAGTTGCATGCTAAAAATAAGACAGAAATACATTAAAAAATTTCTTTTACTTGTGATGGCTGACCGTTGTGCACGGTCTTCCACTTCTATAGCCACTTGAACAAGTCCTCCATCTAGGTTTGAAATGCAGGGTGGCACAGGAGCATCCTACATCACATATCAGACTACCCAATTAGGAAATTTGGATCACACTGTAGTAGACAGTAGTCTGAACTGCCATGCACAAGCAGAGACAAACTTTCTTAATAGTTTCCCAAAATGTTTACAACCCAACAGATGGATACAATGAGAAATAAGCTCCTATTTCTCTTAATTTATAAGAAAGAACCTAATTTCTGAATGCAAACTAAATATGAGCACGTGAGACAGTTTTTTTCACAATCAAGTCAACAGATGATGACACAAAGCCTTCATAAACTACCTTATACCTGTGGGTTGGTTTCAGCAGCAACCGTGCTTAGAGCACCATCAACAACATAAATGAAAGAAGCACCTTCCAGA